AGTGCAGTACACATTCGCTCCTAGACGTAAGACTGGTGCGCCCTATTTCGGATGATTTTGATTCCGGACGGGCAATGTTCGATCCAATGTTCGGACGGGTAAAACCAGGGTTTGACTCAGGAGTCAGGACTCAGGAGTCACTGGTCAGTGAAGCTGCAGTCGATTCGATACCATTTTATTGCCAGATCGAAACGAGGAAACGTCATCAATCCGAGTTTCGATTTGCGATTAAAATGGTATCGAATCGACTGCAGCTTCCTTGAGTCAAACCCTGGTTTTACGGTTTACCCGTCCGAAAATTGGATCGAACATTGCCCGTCCGAAATCGAAATCTTCCGAAATATAGGGCGCACCAGTCTTAGCGAATTAATGGCCCGCCGGCGATTTGGTCCCGTACCGGTACGATCAAAACTTTTTCGAACGGACGGTTGTCCTCCGTAGACGCTGTCGTTTGTAGGTACTTCTTCCCTCTGCCCCGAGTCCATTGATTTCTGCCTTTCTGCTCGGTTGTCGAGGCAGCACCTTCCTCCCCTGGCTGGAAGCCCAGCCAGGCAGGAGCAGGCCAGGGAGGCCGGGCTTAATTTTAAAGCAGTGTCGCCAGTGCTCATTTGAGCAGTCTCCACGGTAGTCTGGCGCGAGGAAGCCGCTCTGGTCAGCAACAGTTTAGATGGGGGCTTATCTGAGTCAACCTGTGACATCAAAAGCATCCGCAGAAGGAGGCAATGGGCATGTCAATTATGGAAGCAGTGCGATGCAGGGATGGCGAACAGGAATGGAGGATGCGGTGAGTGCGATTGCATGCAAAGGGAGTCTGTTCAAATCCAAAGGCAGCTCTGGCCTCTAGTGGCTCCGGTTTTGAAAGCAAATGTGTGCCATTTGTGAAGCTGCCATCTGAAACTTTACTTTTTTTTGCAGCACTTGACAGTCGTCGACCTTCAAAAGAACACCCATCTTTTTGGAATTTTTGATGGTAAGTAAGGGCTGTCTTTGTCAGATTGTTTGCATGCGTGCTCAATGTCAAGCAGGATGCCGAGTGTGACGTACTGAAGATTGTGCACCGTGTTTGTGACTGCACTACATGTTTTCTTGCTTCCTCTAAGGGTTCCGGTTGTCTGTTTCACACAGTTTTGTTTAAATGTTTGTGAGCTCATGAGGGCTAATTTGGTCTCTTGCAGGTCATGGAGGTAGGAGAGCATATATCTTGCTTCCAACCAAGTTTTTGCTTTGGGAGCAAATTCTTCGCCCAGGGGTTGAAAACCCCAAGAAGACAGTAGAAACATACAGTAGAATCATACTGGCCCAAAGAATGAAATCTCAAGGGCATCCAAGCTGCAGTCTTTGAAGCAGAGCACTGCTTGAGCCCGTCACTGACTTTGCTGGTCCGCTGGAGCAAGCTGTTCCATTTTACACCCCGATACAGTCGATATCTCCTTTTGCAGGTCACGAGGTTGCCAAGTTTGTCAGCAGGCACCTGCACACGTGAGGAAGCTTACTTGCATCAGCACCAGTTCACCAGTCTTGCTGCTCTTTGTTTGCTGCCCAGTTTGATGTATTTGAGCAACTTATGAGCACTTTCTGTGTTTTGGGGTTGCTGTTTCACCGATTCCAGTGCACGATGCGATTAACAAGGCCTGCAACGAGGTGATTAAAAGTCGACTGGTCCACATGTTCTCTGCAGATCGTTGCTGGAGACAGATGCATATGCCAAAGGCGATCTGTCCCAGGCACTTGTTGATGCGTTCTTACGGTAAGATACATAGGATTTTGCTCAGAATATTGTTGCACCACTTACGCGGCCCTTCTGTTAAGTCGACCGTGCAACAAATGTTTGCAGAACGTCCATTCTCTTTGGTTCTTTTGATTGAGTGCTGCGCAATCTGTCTGTATCTGAGGAGGAACCCTCTTGCTGGTTGTTGAACACATCTGCCTTCATACAGCATGGACGAACTGATGCTCGAGGAGGACGGTAGAAAAGAGCTGCAAGCTTTGGCAAGAGGTAAAGTCATGCTGGGACAAGCAACTTGTCCATGTGTGGTGTGCTCCAGCTTGGAATGTTTTCAATTGTTGGCTGCATTATGAAATGAGACGTTGTTTGGCGGCCTTTACGGAAAGTTATTGTCGCGCGGATAAAGTTTTGCCCCTCTTCATGCTTGCATTTCCGCCCTTGCGACTAGAACATGCGTTTTGCTGATTTTCTGCTTGTCCTCTGTACAGGAGAAGACCCTGAAGAAGAAGGAAAGAAGAAGAAGTTGAAGCACAAGAGAAGCGCACCCCAACTGGAGCGCTTGGAGTCAACATCAAGTGGAAGCAACTTGTCTGATGAAGAGAAGGGGGGTGTAGCAGGGAAGAGAAGCAATCTGAGTAGCGCACCACAACCAGATTCTGGAGTAGCCAGAGAGGGCGGACTGGAGGCATCAGAGGATGGTACAAGTGGACACGCGGGTGTCAGTGAGAAGGACACAGCGGAAGTTGATGAAGCTGATAGTGAGGCTGTAACAGGACCAAGGGATGGCGAATGGGAGGGCGCCGAGGAGGTGAGTGGTGTGGCTCTGCAATACACGAAGATGCACTTGCTCATTTACAAGGAGTGATAGTCATGTGCTGCAACCAAGCACAAGTGGAGACATTTGGCTTCCACGGATTGCACTTTGAGCCTCAGATATGCAGAAGAGCTTGCATGCCGTCTGCCTTCTGCTCCGGGCTTCGGTGTTGAAGCTCTCTCGTTGGCGTGGTGGCTACGCAGGCCCAAGCCAAGGGAGGGAAGAAGAAGGGCTTCCTGTCAAATGCCATCAAGGGCATCAGTCAGAAGGTCCTACCCATGACCCTGCTCTGCCAGTATCTCATGGAAGAAGAATTTGTCCATGGACAGTATTGTTGCAGCATGTCGGTCACTGGGCAAACTTTTGCAACACCCCAAAAGTCAATTTTGAAGCAGGTTTGGCAACCTGATTCGAAAAAAACTTCCCTCTAGAGCCAGTCTTGGTTGACTGCATTATGATGGACGATTGTTCGGTTTTCAATAGCAACTCGGTGCCTTCGTCTGTGCAGGTCCTCTCAAACTCGAAGTACAAAGGCCCGGCAGCTGGGTGCACCGCTGTTGTGGCCCTGATGCAGGGGGACAATCTTCTCGTAGCTAATGCAGGGGACTCACGCTGCATCGTCTCAAGGCGCGGGCAGGTATGCTCGAAAAGCATACCTGAAAGCAGAAGGCGCTAAGGCAATGTCATAACATACTTCTCTAGTTGCAGAAATCTGGTTTCATCGCTGTCAGATGGACGTTTTCGCTGCTAGCATCAGCTGGACTTTTATGTTGCAGCGCATGACATTTCATCCCAAAGCCAATTGTATGTTAAGCTGCTGATCGTGAGGATTTTGCTTGCAGGCGATCGAGATGTCAACGGACCACAAGCCCGGTATGGACACGCATCTTTGAATCACGGATGCAAAGTTATAATCGTTTGGGATCTCTCTGAGCAGCTCTCACCTTTTATACAGATTTGCTGTATGGCAGCTGCTCCTGCGACAAAAGCTCTTGTGCAATCAGTTGTTTCGGTCAGTTTGCTTGTTGTTGCCCCCTAGTTTGATTCAAATTCGCTCCTCAACGTCTTACCAGACAACCCGGAGGAGAGGGCACGAATCATGAACGCGGGGGGTTTCGTGTCAGCTGGCCGTGTAAATGCTAGTCTCAATCTGTCACGTGCAATTGGCGACATGGAGTATAAGCAGAACGTCAGCCTGCCCCCCAAGGAGCAGATAGTCACCGCATACCCAGAAGTTCGCAGCGTAAGTACCCGATGTACGCCTTTGCTCTAAGTCCAGATTGGTGGACCATCAAGGTGATAAAGCGATTCTTTCCATGTTGAGGTTGTTGTACAAACAGAGACCTCGGGGCCTCCCATTTCTGACCCTGTCATGCAAATCAGGTTTCAGGTTTTCTAGGTGCAATCTGATGAGCTGCCTCGCATCGCACTTGGGCCCTTTCACGATTTTTGATTCTGCTGCTTCGTGTCATTTGTATGTGCAGCTCAAGCTAGAGCAGGGTGACGAGTTTCTTGTGTTGGCTTGCGATGGCATCTGGGACGTGAAAACAAACCAGCAGGTTGTAGACTTCGTGAAAGAGAGACTTCAACAGGTGAGTTCGCATCAAGTACTCCTGTGATAGATGCCGCCTCTTGGCGCAGGACTTCTCGTACATTATAGTGGAATGTGAGTCGAATGTTACGCTGGGCTGCTGTTTGTTGGTAGTGTGCATTTGTTTAGAAGCTTTCGTTGCATTCTGAGGCCTCCGCTTTTGTAAACGTGCAGAACAAGCCGCTTCCGCGGATAGTGGAGGAGCTTTTTGATAATTGCATTGCCCCCAACACGTCTGGCACCGGTCTAGGTTGTGACAACATGAGTGCAGTCGTGGTTACATTACCCTCCGACCTGAGCAAGTTAACCGGAGAGTCAGCGACAAAGTGAAGCTTGCGCATCTTAGTTTAATGTGACGTTTAAAATCTGGACTGTACAGAGTCGAGCTGTCAAACGTGCCTTGTTAAACCAAGCGAACTTCTCAAGCCTATCTTATGTCAAGAAAGAGGCCACGGCAGCTTGTGTAAGCAGGCAAAATAGGGAAGGGAGTGACTCAGTGATGCCAGGGGCTCCTTAGCATTGGATCTTAGATTCTGAAAAGTGTTCACGCAATATTCACATCTGGCTGCCATTCTGAAAACCATAGAAGACGTGTATTCGGTGCCAGCAACGAGCAACAAGTCTGCTGTACGTAGAGGATTGTCATCATGCAGTGCGCATTGGCAGCTTCCTCGAACCTGAAAGAATTTGCATTTGGGCCTGGGAATTCAACGATTGCATGGCACTATCTTTCCGATTTCGGGTTATTATGCCAGCGGCCCGGCCCGCCCTCATGGCCCCATATTCAATCATATTGCATGAAGGTCTTCCCACATGATCCGGCCGCGCCAGGATTTGTCACATGAATTCATACAATGATGCATGCGCAGCAGCCATGCCCTCATTATATATGCAGCTGGGAGTACCTAGCTCAATGCAATTGAATGTGGCGATTTTAAACATATACATACATACATATAACTATTGACACTGATGACGTACATCCCAATGACACATCACCTGCATATGCACTTGATAATATGCACAAGTATCGCCGGTTTTCGACATGCAAGTTTTGACAAAGAAGCATTGAACTCCCTGATGCAAATCAGTGCACTTATTTATGTAATGACTGTATATCTACCTCCTAGCAGATTGACCACTTTCAATATCGTTGTACCAGTAGATTCTTCAACCAGCTTTGTCCATGAGCTGGATTGGTTGTAGTACGTTAGCCTTGTTCGTTTCAACTATGCACCCATTCATAACCATTTCGTCGAGCATGAAATGTGCCTTTTCTAGATGGAACATGATATCTAGTTCACACTGCAATAGCAAAGACTCACATTAGTGTCGTGTGAGCTCGCAATTACAAATGCATTATCCACATCCAAGCTCGGGAGTCGAGATGAAACCAACTTTCGCAAGACCAAGGATCAAACATCATCCAATCATGAATGGAGACTGGAGGAAGCATGCACTCACCACGTTGCCAAAGTACCGGTCCATTGTCTCCACTACACAATGGATGAACTCAAGGATCCCAAGCTCGTTCTGCATCCAAAAAGATACAAACTTACTCAACCACTCTGGTCAGAAAGAAACCCACGTGGGGCATAAGACATCGCCCCCACTAAACTGCTTTCCATGCTGCAACCTGTATCCATCACACCATTTACATGCCCCTTTGCGGTGGTGACACAATCTTACGAGTTGCACTTCATTATTAGACTGTAAGTGGTGGGTTGCTATCTCCAGCACGGAGGGCTTTGAAAGCGCAAACCCAGGATCTTTGTGAAGGAACCCCCTATCCCTTGCATCGATTCAACTCAAACAGTCAGGTGTACCGACACCACAAGCTCGGCCATTGCTTGGAGGAGCGGATGACAAAATACGGCCCAGGTCCTTCAGAGAAGAAAAGATGCCCAATTCTTTTAGGTGCAAAACAATGTGGATAAAACGAGGTTGCAGCAATCCGTGCAAGCGATTCAAAGAAGAGGACTTTACCTCATCCCCGTCGACCCCAACAAGGAAGAAGAGTGATGCATACCGCCTGTAGATCACTTTGTAGTTGCGGTGTTCGACGAAAGAGCACTGCAAGATCACAGGACTTTTAAAAAGTGCCTGTAAATCTAAAAGTGTTGATGTGCACTGCACCACGATCACCTCCTCTACTTGCAATGCGAATTATGCAATACTTAGCCCCCACCTAACAAAGGGAAGAGACCGCGTTCCGAAAAGATGGACTGATGCGACTCTCTGACGATTTTGGAGCCCTGAATGACACCAGAACATACGCAGCCATCTGCCACGGAATGGTTCCTGCTTGATTTGACAAAGAGGGAATTGGGTTTTCTCACCTGTTGGTCTGAGCGTGCCAAGCACTTCCGAACAATCTCGCCTTCGAGTGCCCTTCTTTCCTCCAAGCTCATATACTCGTAGTACTGAGCCAACCGAGTCTGTCCCTGTTTATTGACGAGAAGTAGAAATCTAATCGTCATGGCCAATATGCAAGCAGAAGATCAGCACCGACAAACGCTTAGCTACTCTTCACCAGCACCGGCTGTTCGAATTGCCGTATACCTGTGTCCTGCAAACCATATATGGTCCGTCTCTTGCTTATCCACCTGCTGTCTAGCTCTGATCCTACGCCCCTTGACCTGCGCCACTTTTCAGCAGCTTTGTCAGTCCAACTTGATTGCAGGAGACTGTTTAGCACGATTGAACCCTAATTTACTAACAATGTAACATAAATTTACATAACACAGGTACCTTACATATCTTGACCTTGCAATGTTGCATGTCATTGTTGTTGGAAATCGAACTTTCAGATGCAATTTCAACGACAGCAGGGTATTTGTCATGGCGCTCTCATTGAAGTGGTGGTTTATGTTGCTTCTTGGCGTTGGTGCATTGGCCACGCAGGCCCCAAAAGTTGGTGCCATTGAAGTGAGTAGCAAATCCAGCTCCCTCTGTAGCTCAAAATGCAACTTTGCATTACTTTTGTTTGCAGCTTGCCAATCGGTGCACCTGTACTGCTTTCGAGTGTGTCTCTTTGGCTTCCGCTCCCCTGTCATCTTCTTTGATTACAATTGAGTGCACCTGTGTGGAATAGTAAAACGAGCAGCACAGGTTTCAAACGTGCAGGCAGGAGCTGCTGCTGAAGAGAGGGCCTTCACCATTGAAAATGATGCATTTCTTCGTGATGGCGAAGAAGTACAGCTACTGGCAGGCTCCATCCACTACTTCCGGGTACACCCTCAGGTTGGTGCCGGTTAGCCACCACCACCTTTGTATGCCCTTCTTTCTGCTTTTCAGCCAACATGCTGTGCCAAGTCCTCAAGCGCACTGCTCGATCATTTGCTTCTCTGGTTTCACAACCTTTTAGATGGAAACCATCCAAAAATGGTGTTCCCCATGTTTTCTCCATGCAGTATTGGGAGGACCGCTTGCGTCGGCTGCAGGCCCTTGGTCTAAACACCGTCCAGACATTGATTCCCTGGAATGTACATGAGGGGGCAGAGGGAGACTTCATTTGGGAAGGGCCTGCCAATCTGGAAGCGTTCCTTCGTGTCGCTCAGCGCCTGGGGCTGATGGTCATGCTGCGCCTGGGACCCTACATCTGTGCAGGTCAGTTGGTTGAACCCCCAATGTAGACCACACTTCTTCTTAGTGGTTCGAGAGGGCAGGTGAACGTTCACTTTACAAATTCACCAGACGCAGCGGTATTGTTATAATTAGGACTGATTTCACCTGGTAAGGAAGTCTTTTGCAAACACACTGGCACTCTTCCAAGCCAGATGTTCCAAGCTTGGTGCTTTTCTTTCGCAGAGCATGAGTTTGGTGGTTTCCCCGCCTACCTCCTCACTCAAGGCCCCATGCAGTTGCGCTCATCGGACCCTCGCTACCTGGCAGCAGTGAGCAAGCCCAATCCTCGCAGAACCAGAATGGGCCATGACCCCAATCCCACACATGTATGCCCACCCTTGCTATTCTTTCCCCTTGCATTTCACCTTCCACCAAAGTTCTCATTGTTGCCAGCAGATGTATATCGCTTGTCTAGATTGCCCCGCTCACTGATGTGGCGCTGCATCCCCCCAGGTGGACCACTGGTGGGGCGAGCTGCTGCCGCGCGTCAAGCCCCTGCTGTGGCACAACGGCGGCCCTGTCATCATGGTGCAGGTGAGGGCCACGCCCTTGCACCCATCAGCATTTTCTGCATGAGATGCCGCACAAGCATGGACTCTTCCAAGGACTTATTAGTGTAACGCTGGCTAAGTTTTTCACAAAGTGCACGGGATGGAGCAACAGCGCACTCTGTGAGGAAGATTTGCTTTTAATAGCAAGCTTTTGACTGGTGCAGGTGGAGAACGAGTATGGCTGGTTTGGGCGCGACCATGCCTACATTGAATACCTGGTAAAAGCGGCTAGAGAGGCCCTGGGACCGGAGATCATTGTGTAAGCCCACACTTATTTACCCAGACGGTCTCGCTGCGTCCCTGATAATCTTGTGTCCCTGAGAACTCCAAGTCGTGCAGAAACATGGCTGGCTAAACGGTATGCAATGGTTTGATTTCGAGCTTCTCAAGAACCGGAGACACAAGTATTCTGGGCAAATGTTTTGTCGGGTGGTCACTGAGTCCGCTGGTGGGGGTCGCAGGTACACCACTGACACCGCCACCAAGTGGGCCCTGGATGGGGGCACTCTTCCCGGGGACCAGGTCTACACAGGTGACATCACCTCTACTTAATTGAAGGCCAGCTTGTAAGCGAGCGGCGATGCTTTTGTACGTTGCTCTCCGTGCTCTTGCCTGTGGGCTAGATCAACAGTGGAAGGCAGAGCCTCGATTGCTCGCATCCTCCATGTGCTGAGTCTCCATGCCAAGGCGATCATAGACACTCGCTGCAGCCCATGTCTGCTGACGTGGGCAGACGTCTCGTGCAGTGGTTGACTTCAATGTGTATGCGGACCCGATGGACGCGTTTGCCCTGCAGCGGCAGTACAACGCACCTGGCAAGTCACCACCCATGACAGCGTGAGCCTGCACTCACCCTGGTTACGGATACTCTAGGGGCACTGTCGATCGAACAAAGAAGCTGGACTCTGGACGGAGATCCTGAATAGTATCGCCTCTTTCGGCACTCAAATCCCTCGAAGTGACGGCTGAGCCTCGACGCTTGTCCAGTCTCGAGCCAGTCTCGAGCCGCAGGGAACCGTCTCAGGAAGTACTCTGTAGTTCCGGTTCTCAAGACACGGGCTTTGTCTTGCACGGCATCGGCTACTCTGTTGGCAGCTTCCACTTCCTGGCACAGCTTTTTCACCATGTTGTCCCATCTTGGCCTGCCCTGGTCGCAGTGAGTTCTACACTGGGTGGCACACCCGGTGGGGGGAGCCGCTCTCGCATTCGGACCCTACGGTGGTGGCAGCGGGGCTGGAGAGGATCCTAGCTGTCAACGCCTCCATCAGTCTATATGTGAGCCGACAGATCTCCGTCTCTGAATGCTCCACCAAGTTTGAGTCGCTATCTGAGTCTTTACCCCTTGTTGCATGCATATGCGAGATTAAGTTCTTGAATTATCAAAGCCTCACATCATCACGTTGACCAATACGGGGCAATTAAGAAGCTCTGTCCTGTAGACCCTTGGCACAGCTTCGCATTTTGTTGCGTGCTCGAAATCATTCCGTGCAACGCTCGTGCAGATGGGGCATGGCGGGACCAACTTCGGCTTTAACAGCGGGGCCAACATCTTCTCCGAGAACGACTACCGCCCCGTCATCACCTCTTACGACTACGTGAGTGCCTCTCCGACTCGCACGCACCCTGCTTGAGTTGCTCGCTCACGGTCTGCCTCACATGACGGTTACCTGCCAGCAAGCATACCCAAGCGTGACTCGCCAGATCAATCAGGTTTTGAGGATTTGCTGCACGCCATGCGCTTTCTCTACCGTTCCTGCTAAGCGCTCGCTGAAGCGAATGCACTTCCTGAGTTGACCCGCACCCGAGAACGGTCCACCCTCGGAACCAGAGAACATTCTGGACGGCACGCCGTGCTCGTCTTGAATCCGACTGACGCCCTATTGACTTGCCAGGGTGCGCCGGTCAGCGAGGGGGGGGACACGGACCTGCTGCCTCTCTACAAAGGTGCGTATGTTGCCAACGCTCTGCCCCTACTCTTGTGTGCCTCGACATTGAGAGCAGGATTGGAATCAGCTACCAACTCTTATCGAGTACGATTTGAAAGCCCTATGTCTTGTGCGGAAGAGTGGCCGAGCAGAGTTTCATTGAGTTCTGCGAGTATAACGTCCAGTCTCAGCGTCCCTTTGAATAAATCTATCGGGTGGTCTTCGTGCAGTTCTGCGTGCTGCTTTCGCTCGACATGCCACTTCTTCTCTTCCGCCGCTCCCTCCCCGGACCCCTAAGGTCGATTATGGCCGGTTGCCCCTCCGCCCTGCGGCCTCACTATTGGAGGAGGTCGCCGCCCTTAGCACGGTCCCGCATGGACTTATCATGACCACCCTAGCATTCATGGAGAACTGGAACCAGGTGGGCGCGTTGAGAATTGGAGCTTCTGTCAAGACTTCGTTGAAATGTGTGTCAAACAAAGTTTGGCGTAGAAGTTGGCGGCACATTAAGTGGCTCTTCGTTTCGATTTGCACAGCTGTGAGAGAGCCCTCTGCCGCAGGCCATGCGGATTGTCGTCTGCCTGCCGGCAGTTTTGCACGATTGTGCTGGCTTCTTGCGTTTTCTGCCCTTTTCTCGCTGCTCAGTAACGTCGCGGTGTGTTTGCAGAGCACTGGTTTCGTGCTGTACACCACGGAGCTCCCTGCGGCGGTGCACGCCGGCAGCTGGCTGCTGCTGGAACAGGTCAGCCCCTGCCCCATCCTCGCCTTGAACTCGCATAGAACTCTATCAAAACTGCCCGCGTCGCTCAGCTTCACTCCCTACTGTATGCAGAAACTCAAATCCCTTTGTTAGTCAGGCCTGATTTTCGAGCGGCCCAAGTTTGACAGGTCTAGATCAGGAGTCTGGTCAAGCAGCCAGATCCAATGAAGTTTGAGAGATGAGCAGGCCGATGGTAGGGCGAGGCTGCGCATCTCGTGTTCCACCAGATTGGACTGCAACGCTCCGTAAGGATGCTTTCTGTTAATCTGGCGTTTAATATTGTTCTCCGAATCCCGGCTGGTGCCAATTCGCCGCGTGACCGTCTGGTCTGCAGGTCCACGACCGCGCCCAGGTGTTCGTGAGGGACGGCGGCGAGCGCACGTTTGTGGGCACGGTGGCGCGCTGGGCCCCGCGCACGCTGTACCTCTCGGCCGCCGTCGCAGTGCCGGGGGCCACGCTGGAGATCCTGGTAAGCGTCCTCCGCTGCTGTTGTTGGCTGTGGCTCGCGCACCAAGAAGGAAGCCACGCGTAGCGGACAGCGAAGTCGTTTGCGGTGGGGAGGAGGTTGAGAATTCCTTGCAAGCGGCAGCTTTCGTTTTCTGCACAAGTGGCCTTGCTACCACAGATTGTGGCACGCCCACCGTCGAGCACTACTGGCGACATCAAGCCGAAACGTCGCTTTAAAGTAGCACAGGCATGGGGCCTGTACAGAATGTTTGGACTTCCTGTCTGCTGAACGATGCGTGGCATTCTCTCACCGTGGTCGCATCCTGACGCCTTGATGCAGGTCGAAAATATGGGCCGGTCCAACTTCGGCGCCTACATGTGGGACCCAAAGGTTAGCCTCGCCCCGGCTCCAACAAGCTGAACTCACTTCCCTCTGAAGAATCAGGGCATCTCTCTCCCCAGCGCCTCACTGCTTTTCTCTGCACGCCGGCCTCATATCCATGAGCAAACCAACACAGGTATTCTGCGGCTATTCCCAAACAGAAACGCTACCCGCCGACTCCTAACGGTTCCATTGTGTTGCGCCTGCGCAGGGCGTGGCTGCGGTGCTGCTGGACGGGATCGCCCTCTCCTCCTGGTGCGTCTACCCGCTGCCGCTCGCCTCGCTGGACGGCAGCAGCCTGCCCGCCGGCCCTCCCCGCTCATCCTTTGTCGCCAGCAGCGTCACATACGGGGCAGTGGCCGCCACCGGAGCTGCCAACTGGCGGCCCGATGAGCAGTGGGACCGCGCGGCGCGGGAGCATCTGCATGCGAGCACGCCTTCGGGGCTGCCCGCCATACAAGCGGCGCTGGAGTTGCAGCATGCGGCGGGTGAGCGGCCGTCACACGGAGGCAGCGGACCTAGTCGGTCAACCTTGACTCGTTGATGTGAAGAAGTAGGTATACTAGAATCGATCGCGCCCCTTGATCGTGCCTGTACGGTTGCTCGCTCTTCAAGAGAGGTATGCCGTAACAAACCTGTCCTGCAGACGACGATGCTACCGCAGTACGGTATCACAGGTCAAGGACGCGGAAGCGGCGCTGGTGAAGACTCTTGAGTGGATCGTACTGGCAGACTTTGAACTTTAAAGTTCGGTTTCAGCACCGTACCAAACAATGTTGCCCTTCACCCTTGCTCATAATAAGGAAGTGCTTTGAAACGGAGAGCATAACCGCCCTGCTTCTGCCCTGCAGCCTCCAGCGTGGACAGCCCCACCCTGTTCCACGGCGTGTTCAACATCTCGAGCTCTGTGAGCGGTGCCCACACGTGGCCCGCCGACACGTTCCTGGATACGAGCGGCTGGGGCAAGGGGGTCGCCTGGATTAACGGGTTCAACCTGGGGCACTACTGGCCGGTGAGGCGACCATTAAAACACGATCCGATCCCTCTGAAAGGGGTGTGCTTCGAATTCCGGTTGCGCCAGGAGCTTTTTAAGTGCTGCGAGCGGAGCAAAACAATTGCTGTGGATAAGAACGGTCTGCTAATCTGCAAGAGTGCCTCGTTCTGCAGACTGCCGGGCCACAGTGCACACTGTACGTGCCGGGGCCAATTTTGAAGCACGGCGAAAACGAATTGGTGAGTCAACCGTCCTTGCTCTCATGGCCAAACTCCTTGCATGGGTCGGAGATTTAGAACACCTATCTTTTCTCTTTGCACCTGCTGCAATTCGTGGTCTGCTTTGACATGGAAACAGTGATACTTCAATGCCCCGTGATTGGATGCAGGTTCTTTTGGAGCTGGATGCATCTCCTGCGAGCCACGAAGTTGTCTTCGTGAAGCAACCCACCTACTCGTGTACTGGAAGCAAGGCGCCTTTCGCAGAGCGCGCACCAGAAATTTAGCCGGCGAGCGCCCTGAAATTATGGGGCCGTCAAAGTGACATCTGAAAAACTCTTGACTTACTGTTGTTGCTGCGCATGTATCATACCATGTTGAGGTGATTTTTGGATCCTGAACTATGAAACCAAGGATACCGCCAACGGTTTCAAAAAGACAATGCAGGCCGGCCTTCATGCATCCACTGAACGAATTTACGAAGCCCTGGAGCTCTTTCCTTGTGTAAGCTTAGTAGGTGCTTGCTAGTGCAGGGTTGCATGCGCCCCACCAGGGTACATGCTCAACTATCATTACCTCCTTAATATATGATGTTTGTTTTCATCAAACAACAAGCCTCATCAAAACTGCCATATGTTGTACGTGCTTATTAACTAGGTGCGGTCACCTTCTTCAATTGTTGCTAGATGTAACGACGGGCCTGTTCGGGCCACTGTCGGATGCGGCATATATACCATGTCCTCCACTGATGGTCAATCCGCACGACTTCAAGAGCAACTCTTGAGATTGTACGCTGCCCGCCTCACTTGCCACTTTTGAGCAAACCAAGTCAAACGCTATGGGAACAGCAACAAGCATATACGATGGCCCATGAATCCAAAAGCTGTGCAGTTCGATGAGTTCCAAGTATGCTAGCACCTATACTTTATGTACCTCGCTTAGATGAGCTCTTTGCTGATCGGACGTCCCACCAAAGGCGGCTCTAGCAAAAACTGTGCTCGACAAACCAGTTCACTTCTTGTGAGAGTTGCTACTCTAAACTACTGAACGGTAGCAGCGTCTAGTGTCATGAAGAACCATATGCGTTCCGTGATTATCCCGTCGATGGATCAGTATGCATCCCGTCAGCAAACTTGGCAGTATAACTTACTAGCATACGTGTCTACTTTCCCTTCCTCTTCTGCACCCCTCCTTGCGCAGTCTTTCTCGAAACGGGCTTGGGTCGGTTGATGGTATCTTTGCATTTGGGTATGTGGCGTTCCGCCACCTGAGGGGCGAACCTCCGGCTACAGTGGGGGCATGGTACATAGTCAAGATTCTCTGCATCGAACGGAAAACACGTCAGCCCTGATGCAGATTCCCCGTGCTTCCACAAGAGTTCGTACTTGAGCAACTCGAAGGCCCTCTAAATGCAAGCCCAAAGAGCAACTACTCAACCAACAGTGGAAGCACGCCCTGCAGGCGGCATCCCAGCCATCCCGGCCGCGTCCATCCTTTCTCAGACCCTCAAGGTCCTAAATGCTCAGGCTCGGCGGTGGTAGGAGCCAGATCACCGGACTTGCCAATCAAAGGGCCCCTTGCTGGATCGCATGTAACCCACCTGAGGGTGGCGGTGGGGGCAAGCTCGCAAGATCGACCCCCTTAGCTTTCGCCTGTGAATACCTGCGCATGCATCATACCTTCGGATGTGAGCACACTCGTAGATGGCTTCTTCTGTCAGCATTCATAGGCCTTTCGGGGGGCCTGAGCACATTAGCAGCGGGAGCGCATACCCGAAACGGCAGAGGACGGAAGAAACATTCGAAAGCTTACTCCTTCAACACCTGCACGACCCAGTCCAAGCGAGCAGGGACGCCCTCAGGACACACGATGTTTGAACCGTCTAGCTTCAGACCGCCCCAATCTTGGTCAGACAGAAATGTACTTCAAGCCCTTCGACATCCCTCAGCGCACAGGGCCAATAAGGGTCTGCACTTGGCAGGCCCTGCCATGGCAACGTGTCTGTGTTGACGGAAATCTCAATCGACAACACAGCCTACTCATCGTGTCGGACTTGCCAGTCTCATGAGCTGCTTGTGATCAAGATGAGCTCTCGGTTCGTCATCTGCACTCACTGTCGTGACGCCTGGATGGCGGCCTGCAGTTGCTGGCTCTGCTGCTTCCACGCCGGCACTTTGGTCAGGGGCCGCGACTCCGCATTCCGCGTCCCCTGCGCCCAGCTCGCATCCGCGCGCCCGTGGCTGCTGCTCGCACCGCCCTTGGCCCCCCGCCCTGCGCACCCGCCACCGAGCTTTCCAATCAGACCTCTCCAAACGGGCAATCGGCCAGGATTACCAGCGCATCCTGCCCCTTCCTATCGCTCAGCAACCATGCACCCCTTCAGTCGACCGCAATATTGGGTTGTACATAGAACCAGCTCATCTTGCTGAAGTGGTACAGTCAACCAGGCAAGTAGCAGAGAAGGATGCCGTCACGACAGGCTGCTTTGTCAAGGACTCGTGACGCAGCAGGAAAAGAACAAGTCGCCCTCACCGGGCCCCTGCTGCTGCACGAACTTGGCTGCATCGGTGCCCTCCAAACGGTGCGCTGCCACGTTGAACGCTTTGCGCTTCTGACCAAACACCTTTCTGCACCCACACAAATCCTCTTCGTCAGCATCGCACCCATTCCTCCAATCTGCTATTTGTTGAGCTACGGTTCCTCATGCCATATCTGCACGTCTGCTGAACCCAAGAGAGTCAAAGCGGGCCATGTAAACGGCAGGCCCCCTGCCAGCGCCCTCACCTGCAGATCTTGGCGTGCTTTGCAAGGGCCGCCTCTGAGAAGTTGCGCTTGCAGTCGGGGCACGGCCGGGTGCTCACGTCCCCCTCATCCGGCAGCTCGTTCCTGCACGCATAGAGACACATGCTGAGATCACCACGGAATCACTAGAAACATCGGCACGTCCACAAGGGACTTCAACCTAATCCTGCTTGGACTTGCAAAATCCATGCTTGGCATTCTGTTCTTGTCCCGCTCGCCATTCTAGATCGACAGAATCCGACTGCCAGACTTCAAGCAGATTACTGTAGACTGATGGCGACTGATGGCTTTGGCACTCTCAGGAATATCTGCTTTAGTATTACCAGAAATGCACAGACGTTTCCGACTTTGTCTGAGCGTAACAACCACCGGCTGCAAGTTCAGGGGCCTCAGTCCTCACTCTGGCGCTTGCCACTCAGGAGGTGGCTGCACGTCGTGGCCCCCTCGAGTTGAGCGCTCCCCCTCACTGGGGCTTCCCCCATTGGCAGCAGCTCCGCCGTCTTTCTTTTTGCGGGGGGCCAGAGCGCGCGCCAGCTTGCTCCCCAGGCTCAGCCGCCCGCTTCCCCCGTCCGCTCTTGACACTTCTCCCTGATCTTCGTCTCGATCTCCCGCCGCCCAACTAGGTGACACTGCCGGTCTCGGTTGGGCCCTTGCGCCCAAACCCTGGTTCTGGCCCTGGGTGGGGGAAAGAGCCGCCCGCTGGGGGGGTGGCTGCACAGCAACCGGGGGCGGGCTTTCCTGGTAAGGGGCGGCAACGGCAGGCTTGGGCTTGGAGAGGCGCAGCTTTGCCTTGAGCAGCGACAGCGCCGTTTTGGCTGGAGAGGGTTTCTTCTCCACAATGGCTAGCCGTGCCGGGGCTGGAGCCTGGTTCTCCGTGTCGTCCTCAGGGGTAAGCACTGTGGTAGCCTCCGTTTCTTGCTCCAAGGGGGGTGGTGTCTCCTCCGAGTCTGTCACCTTGTGGGGGGGCGAGGACAACGAGGGGCGCTTCTTGAGTTTTCTAAGGGAGGGGCTGCGGAATGGGGGGAGGGCCTGAGCGAACGACGAGCTATTTGGGGAGGGCTTCGCCTCAACGACCTTTGGGGGTTCTTCCGTGACCTCCTTTGGGGGGGTGGCAGGCGCAGTGAGGCTGCGACGCATCAACGGCTTCAGGTAGTTTGGGCCTTCAGTAGTTGACGGGGTAACTGTAGGGGGAAGATGAAAAATAGCAGCTGAGACCATGGAACATGTTCGTTGTCAGTGTAGGAAACACTGACAACAAAGCCGGTTTGTGCAAAACCGGCTTTGTTCAGCTCAACCTTCAGATAATGTTGCTTTTGCCCGTCAAGTCTTCCTCGCAAGAGCAGGTAAGATGAAAGAAGTCAAGCGTAGGATGCGAAGCTGACCTGTGGTCAAATTTTCAGCTGAAGCCTCGACAGACTGCCTGGGGGTCTCAGGAGCGAAGCTGTAGTCCACAGGCGGGTGCTTGGTGGGAATGGGCACTGCAGCAAAAGAGAAGGAACAACAGTGAAGGGGAGCTCCAGATTCATAGAGAAGGTCGCAGAAATAAGTGCCCAGCCCGCTGGAAGCACGGAAAGTGCTAGCTTTTGGAGCACTCCCTAACACTGAGGTGATAAGGGGTACACCATCTCTTGTCCAGTGCTTCAGCATCCTCCTTCCTTCTCCACTTTCAGCTCTCCCTTTTCAGCGAGTACAGGCTACAGAACTAAGCAAGGCACATATTGAGAGATCTGGTAAATCACAAATGGAAGCACGACAGAGCAGTGCAGAAATGAACAGCTCAGCTGCCTCTACAATCGGAAGGTGCCTCCTCTGCAAAAGTGTTCTCTTGAGCTCCGACAAAGGGACCAGTTGAAAAAGTGACAGTGCACCTGCTCCCCTGTCGCTCTCCCGTTTCTCCTGCTCTTTCTTCCTCTGTTCCCGCAGCGCCGCGGCGGCCTCGACTTTTTCCTTGCGCCGAGTAGCATATGCAGTGGGGTCGAAAACCTCCGTAGACCGCCTGCGAGCGGCCACCGGCCCGTTCGACGAGGCCATGGACTCGACAACTCAACAAATGCCCCAAACTTTCACTCCTCTGTGTGCATCACTTACGGTACGAAGACAAGAAGGAAGTCGAAGGCACAGGCTAGCCTCAGAGGAGGCAAACACTGGGCGGAGCTCTCCTGATAGAAGGAGGTGCAAGCTGTCTGCTTTCTATGTAGGTAGCCTAGACACATCTGGCCCTGACAGGGGCTCCAGCTAGCAGGCTCCTGCCAAGGCTGCCGCCATTTTCGGCCGCCCTCCCGCGTCTTCTTCGAACAGAAGAAACTAGGATGATTCATGGAACACAACACCTATTAAAGTCTTGAACCTCTCAAGTCTTGTGTCTCCACAGAGGACCAATCAGTCATTTCCACGTCAGAAAGTGCTTCGTAGATTGACTCTCGGCACTTAGTGGATGACGACATACTCAGGACTACCTAGTAGGTACGGTACGGTACAGTACTAGGCACAGGTCAGTAGGTACCGTCCTGGAGGCTGAATAGGTATCTACCCAGTCTGCTGGCTGGACAGTGTGGAGTCCGGACTGAGCAGTGAGTCCGCGAGGATCGCACTAGGTAGTCATGAGTGAGATACTGGAGTGTTCTCGGCCTTTGCAGGGCACGGGTATCCTGCTTTACTGTCGCCCCGGCCCCCGACTTGGGTACAGCTTGTGGCAAGCGACCACGAACGCGGTATCGGCGCCACCTGGTCGCCATGAAACTTTTTTACGGGTCATCACCTAGGACGTACGGTTGTCACGAATGACGATCGCCTCACATGATGAAAATTGGTGCAATTGAAAGCCATTCGTGATGGAGTCGAAGAGCAGGGAGAGCTGACCATGCTGCACGAGCTGAGCGCCGCCGCCATTGCTAAGCATTTTCCTAACAGCATTTTCAGGTTCCTCAGCTGCCGAAGCAAGCCTTTCCGCAAGCCTCCCTGCTTTCCAAACTTCTCCAGAGCCCTGTTTATGTGCCCTTGTTCCCTCTGCATGCATCCCACACCTTCCCGGTTTTGGCGATCTCGGAGCCGCCACCTGGCGCTGCCCGAGTGGATGGTTTCCGCTCTGCGAAGGTAGCTCTAACTGGGATCAACCATGGCAAAAGCGGAGGCGCAGCCGGGTTTGAAAACCCCGCTGCTGCCCCCCCGACCGCCTACCCCACCCGTTTCAAAGCCTACGCCCCCCGCTAAGCCTGTGTTCACGCTTCCCACCGCAACTGACCTAGCGGCGCGCAAGAAAGGGCTTGGGGCGCGTTCGTGGTTACGGCTAGACTGCCAGGGAAACAGCCAGCTGCTAGAGGCAGACAAGGTGAGCTCAGGCACCGCCCAGAATGAGAGAACTAAGGATGAGAAGAGAGTGATGCCTTTGCCAGCTGTTGGTCATGGTGTGGGGCGGGCGCCGCTAGTCCTGGCTGGCAAGTGGTGGCAGATGATGTTTCGAATTGCTCGCTCCGTTCGTAATGGTTGGTTTACAGAAAGTAGTGCTGTCAGGCCTTGCCACCCGAAGCATGGCAGAGCGGCCCATGTCGTCATTTGTAGCCGACCTAGATCACAATCGGGGGATACTCCGTCGTTGAGCATCATGGGGAATCACAGACAAGTTAACTAGCCACACCATTCAGCCGCAATGACCCCTCCTCGTTGTTGCCAGCCAGTGCCCCTTCCTTTGAAAACGTTGCATATGGAATTCTGTTTGCAGTATGCCATCATGCGGCGGTGCGGCATCCCCGCACGTGATTTGCGCATCCTGGACCCGTTGCTGGCGTACCCGTCCACCATCCTGGGGCGTGAGAAGGCAATCGTGGTCAATCTGGAGGCAATCAAGGCCATCATCACGGCTGATGAGGTGGGGCTATACTGTGAGACTCTTAGGTTGAAAGTCTTGTTACCTGCTTGATCGAATCAAAAGGGCCTTCAGAATGTCGAAGTTCATGTCTCTTTACCTTGAGGCTATGGACTCCTGATTGTCTGTCATGCAGAGGCCGGCTCCACTTTTTTGGCGGGCTGTAATGCACCGTCACAAGTTGGCAGCTGTCGGCTCCGTTTGTGTTGGTCACAACAACTCACGGAGTTGACTGTCTGCTTAGAGTGTGCAGGAATTCTGGTGGAAATGTCTGAGGGACAACCCAGTCACTACAAGCGGGGGCTCTGATCACGTAGATGTTCTTGTCACAGGTGCTGTTGTTGAACCCGACAGACCCAGCAGTGCTGACATACACAGAGGAGCTTCAACGACGACTACAACCCCCCCTGGCTGCGGCCCCTCAAGAGCCCTGGCAGGAAGCACAGCCGCACCCCCCTCCCGCTGGAAACGCCGCTCTTGCCCTCAAAGGCCCCCCCCGGTTTGGCCACACACGGTCACGCAGCGAGACCGATCTTGGGAGCGTGTTTAGCTCGGAGAGTGCCGGGATGCGGGATAACAATGATCGGGGGCAGCCGTTCGAGTTCCGAGCGCTCGAGATGGCGCTCGAAATGGCCTGCTCGCAATTGCACCACCAGGTGGGTTGCAGCTTGCCCCCTGTCTAGCGTCAGGTTTCAGACCGGGCCTGCTGTTGTGGGTGTTTCTCGAGGCGACCGAAAAGGAGCCAGACAGTGTACTGCTGTGTTCATGAAACGTTCTGCCCACAACACCAGGAGGGGGGGATTCATGACTGGGGGCTTATCATTACATGATGGTGGACCCTCGGACAATGTGTTTCGCTTGCTCCTGTTGTATATCAGCACTTCAGAACTAAGGGGTGAAAATTGAGTATGGCAGAACATGAGAATTCTGCAAGCAGCAGTAGTCCGCATGGACACCTGTCCGCTAACAAGCAGCGATTGCCACGTACTTGCTCTTTGCAGAGGGGCTTAGTCAATCGTGGGGGCAATTCTGTTCTGTTTCACGTTTCAGCCTACTCTTTGGAAAGATGAAAGTGCAGATTCAAAAGAGGCTCAGGTCGTGAATGTTTTGTTCCTCACGCATTTATCTCTCTGGTGCAGTCGGAGGCGCTGGAAGCAGAGGCTTTTCCCGCGTTGGACGAGCTGACGTCCAAGATCAGCACGCTCAACCTAGAGCGCGTTCGCCGATTGAAGAGCCGTCTCATGGCCCTCACTGTCCGCGTGCAAAAGGTACGCTTCCTATGCCCTCCTCTCAACGGGTACGACTTCCTTTTGCTGACCCTCGCCAAATCTCGAAGGACCTGCAATGGTGCTCATCGGGTAGTGGCAGCTCCAACCTAAACGCAGTTCGACGTGGTCGCAATGTTGACGTGGCCCCAATGTTGAAGTTGTTAGTCCTGTTACGGGGTACTTCTTATAGAATTTTGCAATGCAAGGAACGGCTCCAATGCTGACACATGGCATTCGCCCAGATGCGGGACGAGATCGAGCAGCTGCTGGATGACGATGACGACATGGCGGAGATGTACCTCACTGAGAAGCGCCAGAAACTGGAACCCCCTCCCGAGTCGCCCCTCTCCGCTTACTCGACCCGCACAGGGGGCGCCCCTCACACGCCCTTTGGGTCCGCCTTCACGCGGCCCACCCTGGCGGACGCGTCCGATGCCGAAGATGGCGAGTCCCCCCCCCACCTGTCCAGGCGGGACAGCAGGGCGAGCAGGTGCGCACACTGATGGGGCCCAATTTGCGAGTGAAGTCGAGAGTCTGCGAGTTTACAGGGGGTTGCGAGATTCCTTTTGTCTGATATGACATCCGGGGACTTTGAAAGCGGCGGGAGATTCACTAACAGGGCGGCACTTAGGGCACTCAATATAATAGCCGACTGTTTGCTCTGCAAGTGCTGGAAAGCCGTTAAGACGTGCTGACCCGCCTGCGCTGGACTTGATTGCCCTTTGTTGCTTTGAAGCGTCCTTCTCAAGTGGAAGCCTCACACAGTGCTTGGACATGACATGAAGGTCGAACGAAGGCTCTGCCAGCGCGAAATGTGATCACGTTGAAACAAGAACGGGTCTGTCCTAGTCGAAGTCATCGTCTTTGAACGCCGCTGCCGTCTCCTTTGGCTCCGCAAAGTGTTGGGACAGAGAGGCACGCCGAGGGGCAGCTCAAGTGCAAAAGTCGAGAGAACGCGAAGGGAGCGGTAGATGAAGACGGGGTTGAGTATGTTCGACTGCGTGAATCAAGCTTCTCGAGTGAACTCCGCTACGAGGAATCGTGGAGACTCCAAAAAGGAAGGAGAGCCAATTGTAAACTCTTGAGTGGAACGATAAACCACGAGGCTGACGTGCGAGCCGCGGGTGGCGCTTGCAGGTACAGCAGCAGCACGGAGAGCGAGGACGTGGACGTGGAGGAGCTGGAGATGCTGCTGGAGGCCTACTTCGTGCAGACGGACGGCATCACCAACAAGCTCAACGCGGTCAGTGCGCGCGCCGTCGCGCAGCCTCGATCGAGGGGTCGGAAGCATCTCAGAAATTTTGCTCCTTGAGAGATTCCAATGAGAAGGGTTCTGCGTAGGTTTGGGGGTTGCCAGATCCTGTCCTGCAGACAGAAGGGCAGAAGCCACCGCGGGGACGCCGCAGGGGGTCGACGGTTGGAGAAATTGGTCAGAGGTGCAACTTATTGTTTTTGGTCGAATTCCGGATGTGATCGGACGAGTATACTGGCTTGGAAAGGGTTGGGTGAATGATCGAGCGTTGTTCAAGGATGTCGACGCCTTCGCAGGTTTTTGTTTTGATGCCAGTGCTGTCACCCCTGCTTGGAGATGGCCGTTATCTCCGGGCGCTGATGCAGCGCGTGAAGCCGAAGAGACACGGAGCAGTGCCCGAAGTAACGCAATTTTTGGCTCAATGCTGTTCTCACACCAGGGCCCTGAATTCTGCTAAAAGCAACCCGTTGTGTCGGGTCCCAAAATTTTCGCTTTTGAATCGTAAACCCTACTGGAGCGCTGACGTGGCGCGTGCTGTGCTTGCCGAAGACTCACATCGCCGAGACGGACCAGTATCCGAGGTGACGCCGCCTTCTTCTACATGCTGTTCGTACACCACGGCCCTCGTTTGACTGAAAGCGCCCCGCTGCGTCAGTGTGTCAGAACGCTGATGCGGCGGGTGCTGTGTTTGCTGCAGCTGAGAATCCACATCGACGACACGGGGCGATATCTGAAGCGACGCCGCCTTTCGCCTGGGGCTCCGTTTATTTGTAAAGTGCGCCTGGTCGCGCCGTTTCATCAGAGCGCTGACGTGGCGCGTGCTGTGCTTTGCTGCAGCTGATAAACCACATTAACGATAAGGGGCGAAATCCGAAGTGACGCCGATTTTCGCCTGGGCCTCGTATTTCTATATTGCGCCTCGTTGTTCCATTATGTCAGAGCCCTAACGCGGCGCGTGCTGTGCTTGCTGCAGCTGAAGAAGTACATCGACGACACGGGGCGATAATCGAAGTTACGCTGCCTTCGGCTTCTTGCTGTTTCTACACCGGGCCTCGATCTAAATGAAGCGTCCTGATGCGTCACTCTGTCAGAGCGCTGACGTGGCGCGTGCTGTGCTTCGCTGCAGCTGAAGAACTACATTGACGACACGGAGGACTACATCAACCTGCAGCTGGACAATCACCGCAACCAGCTGCTGCAGCTCGAGATCGTGCTCACCATCGCCACCTTCATCATGGCCATGTTCTCCGTCGTCGTGAGCGCTCTCACCCAGCTTTTCTTTCTTCGCCCTAGTTGTCCCCGTCGTCGTAAGCCCTCGAAGCTGTCCGTATCGCCCTAGTAGTCCGTTTGTGATTTGCATAATCAGGCAGGCAGCGGGGCTTCTTCGTGATGGGAACTCGATCTCTCTGGTTGGTCGAGGGACGTTAATTTTGGACGTTCCTTGGCGGTAAACGCTAGTTCTCTTTACGGGGCTTTGCGAAGCCGCTCCCTGAGAAGGATTACGGGCTTCACGCCTTTTTCGTCGGCTTTGTCAACTCTTGGCTTCCTTTGGTGCTCTTGGCTTTGCTGCAAACCTTTGAACCTAAATTGATTAGCTGCAGTAGAGAGTCTTGTACTGCCGGTATTTCAGTGCGTGTGATAACGCAGTGTTCAGAGATGTTGTTTAAGGTGGGCTGCTCCTGAGTCAGGAATACTCTGTGCGTACAGGCGGGAGTGTTTGGCATGAATATTCCCATCGCCATCTTCCACGAGGACCATTCCTGGGCCTTCAAGTGGGTCATCATCGGCTCGGGGGCCGGAGGACTCGCCGTTTTTGCCGCACTGATAGCGTGGATCAAGTACAATAACTTGATCAACTAGATACGGACCGCTGCATTGGCCGGAGCCGTTAGGTACTGCAGGTTTGGGGGGGTGGCAGCACGCGGCTTCTTCAGGGCCTGCCACATGGCAAAGCTGGCCCTGCGTTGATAGAGGAGTGTGGGGCGGGTAAGGAAGAGCGGCCTTAGGTTAGGGGGAACGTGTGTGTGTCGAGGGACGAGTTCACACGTAACAGGATTCGGGCCCCCTCAGTAACAGTCAAATCATTCTGCCAACCATCTGAAGCTAGGTGTGCTAGCATCATTCTTTAATGGCGTAACCGACCGCTACTTTCAAGCTGTATTTGTACTTGAGCAAATTATTTGAATAGGTATGCAGAACTGAGATTGTAATTGTTTGTCCGCAAGTGGTGGTGCACGCGCAGTACTATCTGTCTTCGACTTCGTTAATGCACTCGGTAGAGCAGCGAATGCTCAGTTCCTAAAGTAGCCAATTGTGAAATCTCAAGAGCAGCCAATGAAGTGCTTGTCTGCAGAAGCCGTCACGAAATCTTTGATGTATGCGTGATTGCATGATGGAATATTCACTGCTGTTAAGCTAGCTCTCTAGCTGTAAATATGCATGGCGGCATTTAGGGATAGAGAATTAAGATCTGGAGGGTCGCTCAGTGCCGGCGCGCGGCTGCATATTCTGTCGCCAGATTTCACTCTGCAGGCAATTGGCCGGGCACATGACACAACCGCCCGCGGGTGCCGCCAACACTTGTACGTAGTTAACTTAGTCTGGTCCGTGGCAAAAAGGCTTATATATATGACACGCGCGGGCCCGCGGCACTTATTAACGTGCTTTGACTACACTATATATATGCTGCCGTGCACAGCGCCGGCTGCCGCCACATGGTCACTTCTGTTCATACACGCTTAGGCCATCACGACTTATAAACTTGCATGGGGGATAATTCGATCATGCGTGCAACTGGCTTGCACATGGTGCATATTTGTATGCCATACCGTAGTACTAATCCCATTTTTGCAGTTAAAGAATGCAGGTGGGACGGTGGCCACTGCATGATCGACGCCATGCGGCCCTAGATGGTGCAGGTATATACACGATCGTCCGCGCTGTCACTGAACATACATCGATGAAAAAGGAATTACGTAGTTGAAACTGCATATGATAGTAGGCCACCTTCACAACGGCCCTTAGAATCTCGATGAAGTCTTGACACTGATGAGACGTTCCATGGAAAGATCATCAAACGAGCATCGAACCTCCGAAGAGTGACTTCTTCTGCCAATTACTACTTACATGGCTACTGGAGACCAACTATAACAGGCCCATAACAGGGTACTCAGTACAACGTCAACCGGATCAGTCCAACTCGACCACAGGGACAAGTCTCCCAATACCACACATTCGTAAACCAAAACAAGAGGTTGTGAGGGAACCATGTACGTCAAGCTAGGCAGGTTGCCCCCCAGCGGATTACAAAGTCTTCAAAGTCACTACTCTCTAGCACGTGACACACTTCATCTAACAGTAGTTTACAATCTGCTTGCATGGTACAGACTAAACGCGGGTTTCCGCAAACCCACGTGTGAGCCAGTTACTGCTAGACACCTATGCTATCTCGGCTATTCTGACTGGTGCGCGCCGGCATCATTAGCACCGACGGCGCAGATCGCCCTTATTCCCCAGTGAGCTCCATCCTAACCGTAAAACGGGAGCCCACACACCCAACATATCTTTCCGAGCGGTCGCTTATATGTTACCTCTCAGCGCCCGCTAGCTTGATAGCTTGCTTGCCCTCCTTACTAACTCGTCGGAGTTGTGGTGGTCCGGCCCTTCTAGAGGGTACGTGTCTCGAAGCAGTACACCTGGCAGCAGATGAAAGCGAAGTCGATATGAGCGACTGTTCCAAACCGCCGCAACAAAGTCCGATCGTGCCGGCGGCCGGATTCGCCTCCTTCCATGTTTACCAAACGGCTCCACGAGACGGGATCTTCGAAGCTCACGAGACATCCAGTCAACCACCAGATATCTAGATATCGTGTTCCAGCGTCTCGTTCAGCGTGCACAAGCGAAGCTTGAACTGGCACAGGCGAGCAGCAATCTTCGACGGGGATTAAATTGCAATGATGGATAGGTACAGTGGTAACACGCCATGGCGGTCGAGCTCACCTGACTTACGGTGCATGACTAGAGAGGAGTTGGGAGGGGAGCCGTTGTAGTAGTTCCGCCGGCTGGGGTTTGGACCGGGGGGGCTTCGGTTAAGACCGGGGCGGCTGTTGTAGGGACCGGGGCCTCTGTGGTAGGGACCGGGGCCTCTGTGGTAGGGACCGGCGCGTCCGTGGTAGGGACCGGCGCATCTGTGGTAGGGACCGGGGCGGCCGTAGTAGGGACCGGGGGGGCCGTAGTCAAGTCCGGGAAACCCGGGTTTGTCGGGGTTGGCGTCGAGTTGTGGGGAGTGGAGAACTGATCACTGCCGGGTCGGTTATGACGGTACCGTTTGATGGGGTGGGGATTGGGACTAGGGTGTCATTTGTTGGGGTTGGGAAGGGGGTTGGGGTCCCGGTGATGTTAATCATGTTCGTGGGCGTGGGGGTTGGGGTCCCGGTGATGTTGGTCGTGTTCGTGGGCGTGGGGGTCGGGGTCCCGGTGACGTTCACGGGTGGGGGCTCGGTGACCACCGGCAGGCACAAGGTATTGGTGGTGGTCGTGGTGTTGACCCGCACGTTCGCTCTCCCGGGGACGGCGCACGTCGTCGTGTTGGTGACGGTACTGATCTCAGTCGTGTTGCACTGGGTGGTGTTGCCGACCAGGATGCTCGTGTTGGTGATGCGCGTGTCAGACACATCCCCTTCTCTGCAGGGGGGCTGGCCTACATTGATAATAATGATGACATTAATGACGTTGAGCGTCGTTGTGGACGAGGGCACGCCAGTGTAGGACCCGGGCACGCCTGCGGGCCCGGGCACGCCTGGGGGCCCGGGCCTGCCTGCGGGCCCCGGCTGGCCTACGATTGTACCGGGAGCCGGAGGAGGAGGGGGGGGCTGCAGGGAGGAGGAGAAAAAAGACTCAGATATGGACCATGAATCGGTTAAGCAGATCTTCAGTACTCTACTTTTTGGCATTTCCCGCGCAATCGTGAGATGAGGGGCCCGGAACGGGATGCTTCCGTACGAGGTTCCGTCCTCGCAAAGTAGTGAGGTGATCCGAGTCGCCTTTGTTGGCGGTTCAGTGATAGTCGTCACTGGTCAGCTAGACGATTCGCAGAATCAAACAGCTTTACTTTTAACAGACAATGTTCTGACAAATCAAAAGCTGCAACCGAACAGGCGGGCGTCGATTATTCCCAGCCCTATTTCTACGGTACTCGCTTTGTCAGAGTCGATCTGCATCATCAGTACTCCGTTTGTCGGATCCGCTCAACAGGGTTGCGGACACACGCACCGGCGGGATGATGTTGGTGTAGACGAGGCCTTCCTTCACGTAGTTCTTGGAGACATATGAAATCGAGATCACTGGATTGCCGATGGAGTACGCGCTGCTCCCAGGTGTGACCGTTGCCAGGCACAGGATGGGCTGATAGTAGTTGACCAGCCCAATGAGAGGCAGCGACACCGGAATCGTCGAAAGAGTCACGTTCTGCAAGCGCGACCAGGAAACGTCACACAGCGGATAGACAGCCCATATCAAAGGATCTGCTCGAAGTTGATACTCAACGAGATCTTCCTCGGTGGTGAATCTCAGAGAGTGAATTCGGAAAAGATGTTTGGGCGAGAATACCTTGAGCTTAAACTGGAGATGTTGAGCTCAAAGTTACGATCTCATGAATCGAGATTCCCTCAACGAGGAACATAGCGGAATCCACTACAGCCATCACGTGAAGCTCTTTCTGTCTCTGTGCCTGCAAGCATCAAAGCACGACCTTCCGAGTCAAGGCCGTCGAATCTTGTGCAGAATTCCGACGCCCGAGTCATGAGGTATGTTGGTCAAACGAGGCAGTTAGATTCCTCGGTCTCCTGCCCGGCCAACCGGCTGACCTACCGAGACCTGAAGTCCAAGAGCAAACCAGAAAATATCGGCGTCGATAGCAAGCTGCTGACGTTGCGTAACTCTGCAGCAACTTAAACGAACCTGTGCACTGAATATCGAGGCTTGCCACCTTTGCTAACGGGCTTCAAAGCAGAAAAGGTCTCACCCTCCATACTGCGCTGTGCCCATCAGCTGAGACCACTGACGGATAGGTCGGACCAGAGGGTGAGGTTGTCCTCGTGGTGGGGAGGAATCCCCGGCCCAGTGGGTTAGGGTCGCAACCCCGGGTAGGGTCCGCCCACAGGCGTCCCAAGCGGATAGGGGGGGCTGCTAACCGGGGTGGTGCAGCCGGGGCTTGCAATAGTGGCGCCCGGCACGATGATATAAGCGTCTGCATTGATCAGAACTTGAATTAGCAGTGCAGAGCCCAATGGAAAATAGTGCTCAGACTCAACTAATAAAGGACAAAAGGAGTTGGGCAGAGACTCGAGGTTCATAGTGATTTGACAGGACACGAAACGAGGCGGTTGACCTCTCATAGGAACGTCTGTTTCCAGCCAGTAGGTGCCGCTTTCGTTAGGGTTGTAGAGCCAAACAGCAGCAAATGCCCTTGTACGTAGAGCAAGGGGGATTCGACACATTGTTGAAGTAGATTTTTCTTCATCAACGTTGATTTTGCCAATGACGAATTGCCAGGAATCAGTCTTAATTATCGAACACATGATGGGTCCGAGCTTCTCACATAGCAACAAATGCCGTTGCACATGGAGCAAGGGGGACTTGACACCTACTGAAGTAGAAGATTCTTAATCTGACGTTAATTTTGCCAATGACAGGCTACAAGGACTGAGTCCTGTTAATCAACAAAACAACTGGTTTGAACTTCTCAAATAGCAGTAACTGCTCACATTGCCCACAGAGCAGAGGGACTTGACATGTGTTAAGGTGAATCTCCACATTATGGCAGTTTGCTTGATGCAATAGTTGTACACAAATCCAGAACATGCCTTGCTACTGTCAAAAAGTCTGAACATGGTGGAGTTTGCCAACGACAAGCTAGACATATAGAATTGAGACATAAACATTGAAGAAATAACTGGGCAGTAACCTTGTCAAAAGTCCAAATTCTTCCTGAGTAGGTAAGCTGGACACATAACCAACTTTCAAGCAGCACAGGGATCCCTGGCCCCTAACCATTGATGGCGGGCCGACCATGGGCTGGTTAAGAAGTGATTACATGGCTAACAACCAGACCTAGGCAGTAACGCCTCAGAAAAAGGTCAAAGCCTGGTTGCTTGATCAATAAATTGAAACTTAACTATGATAACCAGCCTGATTAGCAGCTGAGACTTTCTTGTGCAGCCCATGATGAACCTCGGAGAATTGCCAGAGACCTTTCTAGAATAAAGTTGGGGTTGCTTGGATTGGTTGCTCACCGCTGCAAGTGATCGAGAGCGTCACATTGGCCGGAGTCGACCTGTTGTTTGAGAGCAGAGTGGTGAACTGGAGATAGCCCCCAATAGGAACGGGGCCTGCTGCCGCCACAAACTGCAAAACGAGATATCCTTCAAGGTAAGGCAATTGTCTTCAGCAGGCTAATAGCTCAATTAGTGAATCTGTAGATTGAAGCAGTCCAAAGGGCAGCCAGTCACAGCATCCCCTCCCTAACAATTGGGACCTGGAAGCCCATATGGAATTATCACCAATACAGCGGACTTCAAATCCAGAAAGATTTGCCCCAGCAAGTATTGCACTCAGCTAACAGGGCGCAAACAATGCAAGCAATGAGAGTGTCTGCAAGATGTTGCTCATCCAGGATTGCTCATTCACGTTATTAATTATTGCCTTGTCAAACAAACATATGTTTTGGGGGGCAATTGAAGAGCAGTAACCTCTCACATCAATGTTGATGGTACTCGCCATGGCACTTGTGCGTCGGCCATAAAAGCTGTTGACAGCAGGATTGCTCCCAGTATGCTTGCAAACACGTTCAAAGTACTCCCTCGCGGCGCCATCGTGTTGCGCTCTGCGGTGGACTGGTGGACTCAGGGCGGTGGACTGTGAGCGCCGGGCTTAGGCGTTGCGAATGCTCCCTTATTGCTACTTTCGCATGCCAGAGCGCGGTAGCTTTTGCCAGGCAGGTGCTCGACTGCCCTTCCAGACTTATGGTCAATTGCGGTCAGGATTGCTTTGATAAAAGCAGGACTTTGCGTAAAGTCCGCAGCAGGCCTGCTAGCCAAATAGTACTGTGGCGGCTCAATCTGGGAAGCCCAGTTGAATCTTGCCAGGAAAGATCCACTTAGAGTCACAGCGGCGGGTTGCTCCCCCAGGTACCCCCGTCCGTCATGCCACAGGCCACAGCTACTCACTGCTGAGCTCCTCCCCCCTACGCGAAGGCTCCAACAGACTGATCATACACTGCATGGTGACTAGGTACTTTGTCGGTCCACTTCCGCCCGCACGCGCTGGTCAAACGGGCACATCATGATCATTAATTGCTCTGCGACAGGACTGGTAGAGCCCCAGACTCCCAATGCTCCTGTGACGCGTGCTGCCGCCTCACTAGCTGGTTAGTAGCTCACGCACGGGGAACGTTGACGTTAGCGGGAAATTAGTCACTTCAGTGTGCGTTGCTGCGTTGCGCTGCAGGTGCGCTGCGTTTAAAGGTACCTACCATCTGCATAATGCAGCTAGCGCGTCTTCAGGGCAGGGCCGGTCTCCCATGCACGGAGTTTTCGTCGTGGCCGGCCACCTGCCGGTGCCCCCCCGGCCGAGTTCTGTCGGCTCGGTAGTCGGCCGTTCGCTTTATACCCGGCCGGCTGAGGCCCCCGGCCAAATGCCTGCATTTTCTGCTGGCGGGGTGCCTCGGCCGGGGTGCCACCTTTGATGAGCCTGATCAGGGGCCGAGTATGCATTGGCCTTGTCATGCTTAATAATGTATCTCAGGCTCTGCCAATCATAGTCATGACGCTTACCTGTCCAGCCAAATGGCAAGCAGTTGGCGACAGTCGACTCCTGAGTCTTGGTATCACGTGGTTTGTTTGCATGCGCAATAACTCTTGGTGCCAAGGTGTCGGCGGTCGCCTATGGTGTCGACATTAATGTTGACATTGTCGGCTGTGCAAGAAACGTATTGGCAACTCCCTTGTCTCCTAAGGGGCTTGTCTCCTAAGATTCAGAAGCCCCGGGCAACACAATCAAAAACCCTTAAACCCAAACATTACGCGCTCCGCACCCGTACCCACCCTAACCACCAAACCAACCCTACCCGTCCCCCGGGCTTTGAACCTTAGGAGACAAGCCCCTTAGGAGACAAATATTGCATGCCAGAAACTGTTTACAAAGGAACACTATCGACTAGATGTATCATCGAATCATCCTCCAGCCAATTCATCCACAAACCACAGTCGATCTTAATGTTGGGCGCGCCGGCCGCCGGCCGCTCCAAAGTCGGGCCGCCGGCCGC